TTTCAACCTATTTGAATCTGTGAATCTCAAGTGTGTCTCAGACGCATGTAGAAATATATAAACAGCTTATAGATGAGTCTTGTTCTATTGAAGTCAGTCTGCAAACCTCTGCCTTCTTAAAAATTTAAGAAATTTTTATCTAACTGTATTTTTTATTGAGGTGTAATTGACATCTAACATCATATTAATTTCAGCTGTTCAGCATATGATTCAATATTTGTATATATTGTGAAATGATCACCACAGTAAGTCTAGTTAATATCCATTACCACACATAGTTACCAAAAATGTTACAACTTTTAAGATCTACTTTTTTAGCAACTTTCAGGTATAGGATTCAGTATTATTAACTATAGTCACCATGTTGTACATTACTTCCCCATGACTTTTTTTGTTTGTTTTTTGTACCTTTACAATTTAAAAAAATTTTTTTATTGAAATATAGTTGATTTACAATGTGTTAGTTTCAGGTGTACAGCAGAGTGATTCAGTTATATGTGTATACGTGTGTGTGCGTGCATGTGTGTGTGTGTATGTATACTTCTCCATTATAGGTTATTACAAGATATTGAGTGTAGTTCTCTGTGCTGTACAGTAGGTCCTTATTGGTTATATATTATATATAGACTTACTTATTTTATAACTGGAAGTTTATACCTTTTGACCCCTTTCACCCTCTGCTTTTTGATCAGTGGTTAGTCTATTCACATTTTATGTAATAATTGATATGCTTGCATTTATGCCTGTCGTTGTGCTATTTGTTTACAATATGTCTCATATTCGTTATTTTCCTTTACCTCCTTTCCTGCATTCTTTTGTGTTAAACAAATACTGTTTAGGATACAATTAGTTAACAAATTTTACTTAGTATAGTTATATAGTTAGTATTTGTATATTACTATACAAATGTAGTATACAATTTTAATTTCTCTGTTATTTTTAGGTATTTTTTGAGGGTTTTGTGTGTATGTGTGTGTTAGTTGCTCTGGGAAGTACAATATGCAGTTTTAACATATCACAATCTAATTAAGATTAATACTGAATTAATTCTGATAAAATATAGCAGATTTACTCCAATATAGCTCCATTTTCTCCTACTTCCTTTTTACTGTCATCAAACGTGTTACATTAATATCTATGATAAACCTGAGAATCTGGTATTATAATTATTGCTTTAAATAATCTTTAAAAATGAAATGAAGAGAACAGAAAAAAAGTATGTGTGTGTGTATTTTGTACACACCGTTTTTTATAGGCACCCACATATTTACCATTTCTGGTGTTTTTCTTTTCTTGCTGTGGATTTTAGTTACTGTCTGGTATTATTTCCTTTTATCACAAAGAATGTGTTTTAGTATTTCTTCCTAACTTGTCTAGTAGCAACAGATTCTCTCTGTTTTTATCTGAGAATGTTTCCATTTCTCCTGCATTTGTGAAAAGTAGTTTCACAGGATATAGAATTCTTGCTTGATGTTTTCTTCTTGTTAGCACACTGAATATGTCACTCTGTTGCCTTCTGACCTCCATTGTTTCTGATGAGATGTACCTGTTAATTGTGTTGCTCATCTCCTACATGTGATGAGTCTTTTTTCTCTGGAAGCTTTTCTCTTGAATATCTCTCTTTATCCTTGGATTTTGGAAATTTCACTATGATGTGTCTAGGTTTGATACTCTATATTTATTTTACCCTATTTGGGGTTTATTGAGTTTCATGGGTTAGTAGCTTAATTTTTAAATCAAGTATGGGAGATTTTTAGCCATAATTTCTTCTAATTTCCTTTTCACCTTCTCTCTCTCCTTCCTTTGGGTCTCTCATTACAAATATGTTGGTGCACTTGACATCTTCCTACAGGTCTCTGAGGCTCCCTTCATTTTTCTTCAATCTTTTGTTCTCTTTTGTCCTTTGGATTGGATAATTTCTGTTGATCTCTCTCTCTCTCTCTTTTTTTTTTTTTTTGGCGGTACGCTGGTCTCTCACTGTTGTGGCCTCCCCCGTTGCGGAGCACAGGCTCAGCAGCCACGGCTCACGGGCCCACCCAGCCGCTCCGCGGCATGTGGAATCTTCCTGGACCGGGGCACAAACCCGCATCCCCTGCATCGGCAGGCGGACTCTCAACCACTGCGCCATCAGACAAGCCCTGATCTCTCTTTAATAGATCAGAATCCAGACTTGCTACAACATATTATCTAAAATATTCCCTGATTCTTTTCTTCAAATCATCTCTTTAACTCTAGAGTTTCTATTTGGTTCTTTTGTATAGTTTCTTGAAATTCCCTGTTGAGTCATTGTCTTTTAATTCTCTGAACATATTTATAAAATCTACTTTTGAAGACTTTGCTAATGTATCATCTCTGTCAGTTTCTACTTACTGTACTTTTATCCTGAGTAAGAATCATGCTTTTTTATTTCATTACATATCTGGTAATTTTTGGTTGAAAACTAGATATTTTAGATAATATATTGTAGCAACTCTGTAATTTTTTTGAGAATTGTTTTTACTTTAATAACTTGCCTATGCAACCACTGATGTCTCTGTCCAGTTTTTTTTTACTCATTTATTTTTAAGCTTGCTTCCTAGGGAATGTTCCTGTGTCTGCATAACTTAGTGGCCAACCAGTGACTTAGGCAGAGATTGTACTCAAACATCTTAATCCAGAAAGGCCTCAGACTGATCTCTGTGTGGACTTGGGAAACACATACAAAGTTGCTGTCCGTTTTCAGTTCATCCTTAGCTTTTACTTTTTACCAGACTTTCTTAGGTCTTTCCCACCCAATCACATAGTTTTCCACTTAGGCAAGAATTTATGGAGAGTTTATTTCAGTCTTTTTATGGCTCTCTAGTTTCCAGGATCTCCCTGTTAAATTCCTAGCTATTCTGCCAGTCACCTCAGACAGGACTACCTCTTAGGCTTGCAAAGTTGTGGGGTTTTCTTATTCTTTCCTGATCGAGTTTGCCACTCTTAACTAGCACAGTCACAGGTTTTTACCCACTGGTCCACATCCTGTCTGCCCCTCTGGCAACAAACAACACTGTTTCCATGACCAACCATACACTAGAAAAACTCTTTTTACCAACCAAGCTGTTGGTGGTGGTAGAGTGTGAATAGCTTCTTGCAAAAAGGCCACTGAGTTCACCTGTCCTTAACTGAAGCTCTAGCAATTTTTCAACAGTAATCGTTTCTTAATTGTTTTCTGCATTTGGCCCATTTCTAGTACCCTGAAATGGTTGTCTTTGACAATCTTGTACAGGTTTATACAAGTCTTTTGCAGAGAAGAATCACCAACCTCTTCATGCTGCCATAACTGAGGTCCTTTTCTATATTTGCGTTTGTTTATTCAACTTTATTACTCGTATCTTCTGTATACCTGTTTACTTTTCCTTTAATTGGTCTATCAAAGACTGGGAATGATATTTTTTTAACTTTTTATTTTTTATGGGAGTATAGCTGATTAACGATGTTGTGACAGTTTCAGGTGCACAGCAAAGCAACTCAGCCATACATATACATGTATCCATTCTCCCTCAGACTCCCCTCCCATCCAGGCTGCCACATAACATTGAGCAGAGTTCCCTGTGCTATACAGTGGGTCCTTGTTGGTTATCCATTTTAAATATAGCCGTGTGTACATGTCAATCCCAAACTCCCTAACTATCCCTTCCCTCCACCCTTCCCCCCGGTAACCATAAGAGAATATTTTAGTCTTCTACAATTGAGTTTTTATCAGTTGATCCTTTTAAACAGTTTTGCATTGAATATTTGTATTTTATTTAAATGATATCATTGGGACTTTCCTGGCGGTCCAGTGGTTAAGACTCCACATTTCCCATGCAAGGGCACAGGTTCGATCCCTGGTTGGGGAACTAAGATCCCACATGGCACACACTGTGGCCAAAAAAAATTAAAAATAAATACTATCTTTATACGTTTTTGTGTGTATAAAATGTGTCACTTTGCCTAGTTTAATGCCTTAAATGCTACTGTTCTTATATTTTTCACTCATGCTGGATGTTTGCTTGGATTTTCCTTATGTTACTTCAGACTGGATTTAAATAGTGACACAAGAATTCATCTGTGTGAGGGATCCCCAGACCACCCCCAGGTTTGGTTTGGTGATTCACTAGAAAGACTCAGACTCAACTACTTGGCAAATAGTTGTACTCATGGCCATGGCTTATCACAGAAAAGGATATAAAGCAAAATAAGCAAAGGGAAAAGTACATGGAGCCAAAGTCCAGAGGAAAACAGGTGCAAGCTTCCAAGAGTCCCCTCCCTGTAGTGTCACACAAGACTTGCATAATTCCTTCAGCAGCAAGTTGTAGCAGCACTTGTGAAATGTTGTCTACCAGGGAAACTCATTAGAAACTCAATGCCCAAGGTTTTTACAGGGGGCCGGTTACGTAGGCACCTTCTGCCCAACACATACAAGAATTGGAAAGCAGGTAACCACATTGTTTGCACAGTCTAGGCACAGTAAACCACCTTTCTTAGTATGGGAACAATGGGAACACTCCCAAAATTCAAGTACCCAGAAGTCAACATTATAGGCAACCCTTCTAAGGTTAGCAGTCTGAAACCTAGTAAATCTTTTCTGCATAGCACCCTTGTCTTTTATTTCTTTTTTCTTTTTTTTTTCAGTTGAACTACTAGTGTTTCATTCATGAGTATAATGACCAAATTTGTTGACTTTTTTTTTTTTTTTTTTGCAATTCGAGGTTTAAAGCAATGATATGATGTTAAAGTATTTTCCCCTTAGTTTGGTAGATATATGATTTCATTCATATATCAAATTAGGGATCACCATTTATAGTTTTGTTTTCTGTTTCAGAAATTTTTTTTGTTCCTTTAAGCCTAAAATAAAGTACATGCTTTTTTTGAAACTTTAATTGACAACAGTACTATACTTTCTCCACTTTGAATTACATGCTTGGAGCAGTTTTGTATGTAGCAGCTTTTTGTATCTTCTAAATATCATAATGCCTTTTTGTTTCTTTTTTCAGCACGATTACGTGGTGTTCATGATGGTCTGTTCACTGGACAGATAGATGCTGTGGATACTCTTAATGCTACTTATAGAGTAACTTTTGATAGGGCAGGGCTTGGAACTCATACTATCCCTGACTATGAAGTTCTTGTAAGTATTGTTTCATAATACACGTGTTTTATGCCTATTAAATATGTTTTGTAGAGTTTTCTTAGGGCTTGTATTTATGATAGAATCAAAATTTCACGTCACAGAGGAAGAGATCTTTAGGTGTTTCCAGCCCTGCTTACTAGACTCCTGGAGCAGAGCTATATTTAAGTCTTCCACATTTTCCAGAAGCTAGCATCCGTCTACCTAATTTAGTGTGACACAACTAATCACTCTTGACTAATTAACCTTAGGGAATAAGCTACACAACACTTGCATTTCAGCTGTTGGTATAGTCCTCTTGCAAAATGACTTTAAAAGTATGTTAACATCTTGCACTTCAAAAAAATATATATATATATTATATATTATTTTATTTATTTATTTATTTTTTGCGGTACGCGGGCCTCTCACTGTTGTGGCCTCTTCCGTTGCGGAGCACAGGCTCCAGACACACAGGCTCATCGGCCATGGCTCACGGGCCCAGCTGCTTCGCGGCACGTGGGATCTTCCCAGACCAGGGCACGAACCCGTGTCCCCTGCATCGGCAGGTGGACTCTCAACCACTGCGCCACCAGGGAAGCCCCTAAAATATATATTTTTATATGTTCCTATGTTATCCTCAGAGTTTGCAGGGTGGTTGTTAATTACCCCCAGTTTTTGCATGATGAAATTGAGACATAAGTACGTTAGGTAATTTGTTCAAGGCTTTCAAGCTGGATTCTTGCCCTATTGAGACTGGAATCCACATCCTTTGAACTTCTGATATAGTCCATTAAACTACTGGACCATTATTTCATGATCATGCTTGATTTAGCAATGTCGTGGAAATTATATACCTTTCTAATAAGTTAAAATATAAAGGATAAATATAACTCTAATATTTTTTTTTAATGAGTAATGAACTTTTTATAACAAAACTGTTTGCCTCTAAGCATTATGGAAATTAAATTGTTCACATTTAGCCTCCCCTTTTTCCATTTCTTTGTTATAAACTTGATTTTTAAGGGTTGTGAACTTACAATTAAAAATCAAAATTACTTTATCTCCTTAGTGCAAAAATAGAAGAATCTTTTTTTTCTGATCTATACTTTTTAAAAAACTGTGACTCTCTGCTTATTATAAGGGTTTCCTTATCAAATATACTTTTAGAGAGGAGTAGGAGAGAAAGGAAATTTGGACTAAATATAGAGCAAGGTATACCAATCTTAGTTCTTTTCATTAAAGGAGGAAATCTTTAAACCTCCCATTTCAAAAAAGAAAAATTACTTTTCTGTTTCATTAATGTAATTTCCTTTATGAGATCACCCAAACATTTCTCCCTGGCCAGATAAGAACTGCCTTTAATTACAGTGGGTAATATTCAGATAGTCTTTAACACAGAGACAACCAAGGGTGGCCATAGATCACTTTCCTTTCTTTCAGTAGATCACTTTCTTCTGTTTTATGAATTCAATCTCTTAGTAACAGAGTAGTATCCATACTCTGACTTAAGTTCTAGCCCTTTGATCTTTGTAGGTTAATATATTTTATGATAAAATAGAACTGTTATAAAGCTAAAATGATTGGTAAAGTTCTTCAAGTTTTGGGGACTATTTTCTTTTCCCAAAGAGTAATGAGCCTCATGAGACGATGCCTATTGCTGCCTTTGGACAAAAACAGCGACCTTCTCGATTTTTTATGACTCCGCCACGGTTACATTATACTCCTCCTCTCCAGTCACCAATTACAGTAAGTAATATTTTTTAGATGTCACCAGTAATTTAAATGATTATTATGAATGTAAACTATGTTCTTATGAAATACGCATCTATTACAATAACGTCAGGAGGTGCGCACATTATTTTGAGTTGTCAGATATTAAATAAAAAGTTAATAAAGTAAATAAAATAGTTGCTTTAACTCTGGAAATATTTTCCTTTTTGTAGGATTTTTAATAGAGTAGTAATTATAATAGAACTTGCTCTTTATTTAAAAATAAGATGCTTCCTTCCTACTGTATAGCACAGAGAACTATATTCAATATCCTGTGATAAACCATAATGGAAAAGAATATGAAAAAAAAAGTATATATATGCATAACTGAATCACTTTGCTGTACAGCAGAAATTAGCACAACATTGTAAATCAACTATACTTCAATAAAATAAATTTTTTTAAAAATAAGATACTTCTGGGACCTCCCTGGTGGCACAGTGGTTAAGAATCCACCTGCCAATGCAGGGGACACCGTTTCATTCCCTGGTCCGGGAAGATCCCACACGCCACGGAGCAGCTAAGCCCGTGCACCCCAACTACTGAGTCTGCACTCTAGAGCTGGCGAGCCACAACTACTGAGCACGCGTGCCACAACTACTGAAGCCCGCGCACCTAGGGCCTGTGCTCCGCAGCAAGAGAAGCCACCACAGTGAGAAGCCTGCATACCACACGAAGAGCAACCCCCGCTCGCCGCAACTAGAGAAAGCCTGCACGCAGCAACAAAGACCCCAACACAGCCAAAAATAAATTAATTAATTAATTAATTTAAAAAATAGATACTTCCTTTTGAAAAGTCAATGGTTAAATAATTCCCTTTTATTCCCACAGGATAATGACCCCTTATTAGGACAGTCACCTTGGAGAAGTAAAATTTCTGGCTCTGACACAGAAACGTTAGGTGGTTTTCCAGTAGAGTTCCTTATCCAAGTGGTAAGAATTGCTCTGAATATTTTGGTTATTTGTTAAAAAACTCAATGACTTTTGTGTTATTAAAGTTGAAAATTTTTCTAGGACCAAATATTTTTATACTTTTAAAAATCATTGTGTTAGTTTTAAGAACTCTGTTACTTTCCAACAAGCTTGAAAATAAGTTATAACAGCAAAAAAAGACTTACAGATCTATTTTTGTTGGGCTTTTCTTGGGTTTGGTTCTTACTATTTTTCTGTGTTAAGGACTCTAACCTTCTAGTATATGCTGTGTGAAACTGAATGGTTAACTATTCATAAATTGTATAAGTATAAAGGTTTTTATTTAGTAATCTCAGTGCATCCTGCCATTATCAGTCACCTCAGCAATTGTTATGTGTTGGCCAGCTCTCTGGTTAGGAGGAACTTTATTTCTTAGACTAGGAATAGCTATTCATTTGCTAAGTACTTATTGATTAGGCACAAAGAAATCTAAGGCTAAATGGAAACAAGTATAGAATTATTATATAGAACAATTTTCTTGAATAGCCTGACTCTTAAGAATGTAATGTGCTGTTTGTTTTGAAAATTAGATTAAATAAATTATTTAGTTTGTTTTTTTATCAGTAATTTAATGTTTTCTTTTTATTTTATTTTATTTAGTTTGAATCATAGTCTAATAATGTTTGATTTGTTTCTTTTCTTTTTGTTTGAAAAGAAAAACTACTTGGTTTGGGATAGAGTCTTTATAAATAAAAATGTTTATAGCCTAATCCATTAAAATATTCAGTGTTACCTTTTACAATTAATGTTATTTTGAGGGAAAGTCTTGTCATTTGTGTGTATGTGTATAGCATTTTTTATTCCTTAGTTGTATGTTGTTAATTATCCTTGGAATACAGAATTACACCTTTTAACTTCCAAAAGTAGATAAGATACTTTTACATGAAAAAAAAATATGAAAAGAGCCAAGGCTTATCATTTTCACACATAGGACACGTCTGTTTTAAAGAAATTCTTTCTTTTAAATAGTGGAAGTAAAAACAGAGCTAATATGTCATATATGGGCAAGTGTGTGTAGGGAGAGATGGGGGGAAGAACAGGGGGTCAGGGAGAGGGAGAGAGGGGCTGGGGAGAGAGAGAGAGAGAGAGAGAGAGAGAGAGAGAGAGATCCATCGATACACCAGCAGATGGAGTCAGAGGCTAAATACTAGTACGCTACTTCTAAAGTATTGATGTTTTTATTGATGCTTAGATGTTTGATCGCAATACTTAATTTTAACTTCAAAATCTACGTGTAAAAGCCTAGTTAAAACACTGCTTTCATTTTTTAAGCTATCTAGCGATAGAAGTAAAAGTCCTTTTATGTACTTTTGTAATGTGTAAAGTTTTATGAAACTCAGATTAGCTTTTAAGCTGTGAGATATGTTTTTGTCTTTTTCTATTACTGTTTTCTTTCTTATAACAAAATAAACTTCATCATTTTTTTGCAAGTTTTATAATTCATAGTTTACAATGAATTTTCTTAGTGAGGAAACTTTTTCTTTCCTGGGGTTAGGGATTTTGAGGAATCTAAAAGACTGATCCACTTCTTAGAGAGGACTCAGTTTTGAAAAGAATGAAAAGGAAACAGCGTGATTTTCTATCAAAAACAAGCAAGAAGGGACTTCCCTAGTGATGCAGTGGTTAAGAGTCCACCTGTCAATGCAGGGGACACGGGTTCGAGCCGTGATCCGGGAAGATCCCACATGCCACAGAGCAGCTAAGCCCGTGAGCCACAACTACTGAGCCTGTGCTCTAGAGCCCTTGAGCCACAACTGCTGAGCCTGTGAGCCACAACTACTGAAGCCTGAGCACCTAGAGCCTGTGCTCCACAACAAAGAGAAGCTACCACAACGAGAAGCCCGCGCACAGCAACGAAGACCCAAGGCAGCCAAAAATTAATTAATGAATTAATTAATTTTTAAAAAAAGAAGAAACACAGTACTGAAAATGGGAGAGAGACTGTTGCCTTCATCCCATCTTTTACTGCTTCTAACTCTGAAGAATCACACAAATTTCCATAAAACCCCACCAACTAGAGACAGGGCACCAGTCCAGAGCTCTGGAGATACTAATGAGGGTCTGTGTGAATAAGTATGTAACATATCTCACCAGGCTCTCCCTCTGCCTGTATCAACTTAGGTCAAGTTTTTAGATTTTTTTTTAATTACCAAAAATTTAATGCATATGAAATCAGACAAGGGACTTCCCTGGTGGCACAGTGGTTAAGAATCCACCTGTCAATGCAGGGTTCACGGGCTCGAGCCCTGGTCTGGGAAGATCCCACATGCCACAGAGCAGCTAAGCCCGTGCACCACAACTACTGAGCCTGTGCTCTAGAGCCCGTGAGCCACAACTACTGAGCCCACGTGCCACAACTACTGAAGCCCGCGCACCTAGAGCCCGTGCTCTACAACTAGAGAAACCACCGCAATGAGAAGCCTGTGCACTGCAGCGAAGAGCAGCCCCAACTCGCCACAGCTAGAGAAAGCCTGTGTGTAACAACAAAGACCCAACACAGAAATAAATAAAATTAATTATAATTAATTAATTAAAAAAGAAGACAGTTGTATAATGCACCTCTAGGTACCCATTATCTAGCTATAACAGTTATCAAACAGTTATCAACAACTCCTGGCCAGTTCAGTTTCAGCTATACTCCCACCCACATTCTCTGTTTTGGGAAATCAGACGTCATATCATTTATCTGTAAATATTTCGTTATATATCTTTAAGTGGTAAGGGCCCTTTTATTTTTAAGAGACATAACTATATTATTATTACATCTAAAAAGTTGACAACAAAGTCTTAATATCTTCACATATCCAGTCAGCATTCCAGTTCTCCAGTTGTCTCTTAAATGTTGACTGTACTTTTTCCCCATTAACTTATTTGCTGAAGAAACTAGATTATTTGTCCATAGAGTCTCCGACAGTCTGGATTTTGCTGACTGAATCCTTGTGGTAACATCCAGCATATTCTTTTGTCTTTTATATTTCATGTAAATTGCTCATTGAATATAAAGGTTTGATTTGATTTGGGTTTTTTATTTGATTGGTGTACTTGTTTTTATGTGACTACTTTTATGTGTGGTTTTGTGTTCTAATAGGATACCCATATTATTTTATCTCTTTTTGTATATAGTGTTGGCTGGTACTAATTATCAATGCGTAGGTCAATTCATTCATTAGGATTGCAAAATGGTGCTATTCTTGTTCTTTGTTTAGTAGCTGAAATAGTTCTGTAAGGAAAAACGTCCCCTAATCTATTATTTGGTTACCTAATGGCATAGTTTGTATAGTATAGGCAGGATAAATGCTTGACTCTTTGTCTTTGTTTTCCAGTTTATGAGTGTGGTCACTAGTATTCTCCAACAATGGTTAATTTTGTTTAAGTATCAGTCTGAACTCATGGATTTTAATGTATTTGTGCTTCAGTTAACTGTAGTTATTATTATGATTGGTCCACACATTGTTCCATATTGGACCAGTGAAAACTTATTCAGGTTGACTCCTTAATCGTTTTGACATATCCTGGTTACAGTGGATTTTAAAATCTCTTCTTCTCAGCCAGTCTGACTTATAAAATAGTGTCTGTGCTATATTTATATTGAAACACTAAAATCTGCTAAAATATCTTGGTGAAAACTTAGAAATTTGACATCTACATGATATACTTAAGTGCCTGTGTTTATTCCAAAACATCTCTTCTTCATTGTCTATAGACCAGATTATCAAAAATTCTCATGATTAAAAAGGAGCATATCAAGAAATTAAGGGAAATGAACACAGAAGCAGAAAAACTGGTAAGGATATATTTTTTTCTTTGTTTGCTTGTCTCATTTTAAAATGGTGGGCAGCTTCTATATCTAAAGATTTTAAAATATTTGATGGAAGAAAACCTTGAGATAAATGTTATTTTTAAATCCTGATTTGCTCTCGCTATCTCTTGTTATACTGAACATACGCTAAGTAAATTAGCAATGCAGTACAGTTCATTACCCCAGACCTCCTTATGCCATTGAATAGGATTAATGGATATATATTAGGTTCTTTGACAGTTTGCGTGAGTGTAGAATTCCTAGCATTGGTGCCTCTGACTAAGGAAGTCATATTAGCAGAGGTTATTAAAAGTGATTCAGAATAAATAAATCAGGAAATACATAGGCTGGTATCTTCAGGTTATCTTGATGGAGCTTATATCCTATTTTATTAATCTAATGAGTACAAAAATATGAGTCAGTTTTATTCATAGGAGAGAATTATCAGAGTTTCTTAAAATGTAGAAAATACTAAGGAAGTTTTTTAATTGTATTGAAAGTCATAACTTGCTTGTGGATTTATAGGATGGTGAATAGATTTTCTCTCAAGTACCATCTCCAATTGATTGAAAATGGCTGCAAGGATGTATGAAAGTAAGAGAGAGCTCAGTGACTGGGCTTGGGGGCCAAGGGCTGTAGCTAAGTACCAATGTCTGTCATGAATGCAGGAATAGGGAGTTGTCGTAACATTAGTCATCTCTTGTATGGAATGGTGTGAGGGGTAGGTGTGGGTAAATAGCTGGACAAGTAGTTACCTAACTGAATGAGGAACAGTCCTTTTAGGATTATGGAATTTTTTATCTGAACATGACTTTGAATTATCTAATTTGAACCCATCATTTTTATGGAATTGAAAACTGAAGACCAAAGATATCAAGGGATTTTGGACTAAGATTATGCTGCTATTTAGTAGTACAGGTACCAGAACAGGCTTCTTAGTTCCAGTTTAACTCATTTAGGTATGATGTAAAATTAGTATTGTCAGATACACAGGCTATCAAAGACTGAAAAAAAATAGCCGTAACATATTGCCATTATATATCCTAAATGTAAAAATATTATGTGTTTGCTTCTTTCCTCCTGGACTCTAATTCTTATCTTGGTTTCCATCAGTTCTACTTCTACCCTTTATTCTATGCCTTTTCAATGCTCCCCCACTACATTTCCTCTGATCATTTTATCATCTCTTCCACCTTGATGCATAATCAAATTATTTAACTTTCATATCACTAGCTAGGACTTTTCCCTATATCTAGGTTTCACACCTTAAAGTACTGGACTTGCCTTAGCCTAGTTAGTGTTACCTACTTTTTAAAAAAGGCCTGTTTTGATGTTGGTTTGACTTCTTGGTATGTGGGATCTCTGTAGAAATCTAACTGGCTTGGTAGGCTGTATAATTTATTTATGATTAGAAATAATTACCATTATAAAAATTGAAATACTGTAAAACTATTTAGTTTAGTATATGGTATAAATACGTTTTTATGCTTAGCATATGGATTTCTTCTTCTATGCATATACTTTCATATGTTTTGTTTTTTGAAGTACAGTTGATTTACAGTTTTGTCTTGGTTTCAGGTATACAGCACATTGATTTAGTATTTTTGTCAGATTGTATTCCCTTATAGGTTATTACAAGTTACTGGGCATAATTCCCAGTGCTATACAGTGTATTCTTGTTGCTTATCTACTTTTTATATGATAATTTTATCTGTTAATCCCATACCCCTAATTTATCCCTTCCTGCTTTCCTCTCCCCTTTGGTAACCACGAGTTTGTTTTCTATATCTGTGAGTCTATTTCTGTTTTGCATACACATTCATTTGTATTGCATTTTAGATTCCACATATAAGTGATATTATACAGTATTTGTCTTCCTCTGTCTGATTTATTTTACTAAGCATAACATTCTCTAGGTCCATCCATGTTTCTGCAAATGGCTTTTTTTCATTGTTTTTTATGACCAACTAATACTCCACTTGTGGAGTATTTACATGCCCACCAATTTACATGCCCACCAACAGTGTATGAGGGTTCCCTTTTCTCCACATCCTCTCTAACATTTGTCTTTTGTAGACTTTTTGATGATAACCATTCTGACTGGTGTGATGTGATACCTCATTGTGGTTTTGATTTGCATTTCTCTAATAATTAGTGATGTTGAGCATCTTTTCATGTGCCTGTTAGCCATCTGCATGTCTTCTTTGGGAAAATGTCTATTCAGATACTATGCCCACTTTTGGATTGAATTGTTTGCTTGTTTTTTTTGATACTGAGTTGTATGAGCTGTTCATATATTTTGGATATGAACCCTTTGTCGGCCACATCATTTGCCAGTATTTTCTTCCATTCCATAGTTTGTCTTTTTCTTTTGTCAGTGGTTTCTTTTGCTCTGCAAATCTTTAAGTTTAATTAGGCCCCATTTGTTTATTTCTGCTCTTATTTCTTTTGCCTTAGGAGGCTGATCCAAGAAAATATTGCTACAATTTCTGTCAAAGAGTGCTTTGCCTTTGTTCTCTTCTAGGAGTGTTATGGTTTTGGGGCTTACATTTAAGCTGTTTTGAGGGTTTGTTTTGTTTTGTTTTGTTTTTGTGTATATGGTGTGAAAGGGAATGTTCTACTCTTACTGTTTTACATGTGGCTGTCCATTTTCCTAGCACCACTTGTTGAAGACACTGTCTTTTCTCCATTGTATAGGCTTACCTCTTTTGTTGTAGATTAATTTATCGCAGGTGCTTGGGTTTATTTCTGGACTGTATTCTGTTCCGTTGATCTATGTGTCTATTTTTGTGCCAATACCATGCTGTTCTGCTTACTATAGTTTAGTATAGTGTGACATCTGGGAGGGTTATACATCCAGCTTTGTTCCTTTTTCTCAGGATTGCTCTGGCAATTAAGGGTCTTTTGTGACTTCACATAAATTGTAGGATAATTTGTTCTAGTTCTGTGAAAAATGTCCTGGGTATTTTGATAGGGATTGCATTAAATCTGTAGATTGATTTGGCTAGTATGTCCTTTTTAATAATGTTAATTCTTCCAACCCAATAGCATGGAATATTTTTCCATTTCTTCACATCATCTTCCTCAATGTTTTATAGTTTTCAAAGTATAGGTCTTTCACCTCCTTGGTGAAGTTTATTCCTAGAGTTTGTTTGTTTTTGGTGCAATTTTAAACAGGATTGTTTTTTACTTTCTCTTTCTGATATTTCATTATTAGTATATAGAACTGCAGCATATTTCTGTATATTAGTCTTGTATCCTGCAGCCTTTCTGAATTCATCTATTTGTTCTAATAGTTTTTGGGCCTAGACTTTAGGGTTCTCTATAGAGTATCATGTCATCTACAGGTAATGGCAGTTTTAGCTCTTCACTTGCAATTTGTGTACCTTTTATTTCTTTTTGTTTTTGATTGCTGTGTCTAGGATTTCCAGTACTATTTCCTGAATTTAGCAGGAAGGCTTTCAGCATTTCACTTTTGAGTATTATGTTGGCTGTGGGTTTGTCATATATGTTGAAATTTGTTCCCTCTATACCCACTTTGATGAACATTTTTATCATGAATGGATGTTGAATTTCTCAAATGCATTTTCTGCGTCTGTTGAGATAATCATGTGATTTTCATCTTTTGTTTGTTAAAGTGGTATGTCACATTGGCTAATTTGCGTATGTTGAACCATCCTTGTCACCCTGGGATAAATCCAACTTGATCATGGTGTATGATCCGTTTTATGCATCATTGGATTAGCTTTGCTTATATTTTGTTGAGGATTTTTGCATCTCTATTAAACAAAGATATTGGCCTGTAATTTTCCTTTTTTGTAGAGTCTGTGTGATTTTGGTATCAGGGTAATGGTGGGGCCTCATAAAATGAATTTGGGAGCATTCCCTCCTCTTCAGATTTTTGGAATAGTTTGAGAAGGATAGGTATAAGTTCTTCTTTACATGTTTGGTTGTCTGGTCCTGGACTTTTGTTTGCTGGGAGTATTTTAATTGTAGATTCAATTTCACTCCTAGTGATCGGTCTTCAAATTATCTGTTTCTTCTTGACTCAGTCTTGGCAAGCTGTATCTTTCTAGAAATTTGTCTCTGTCATCTAGGTTATCCAGTTTGTTGGCATATAACTATTCATAGTATTCTCTGTCATTTTGTTTGTTTGTTTCTCTGTAGTATTGTGTTTATTTGGGTCCTCTCTCTTTTCTTCTTGATGAGAGCCTGGCTAAAGTTTATCCATTTTATTTGTCTTTATAAATAACCAGGTCTTGGTTTCATTGATCTTCTCTGTTGATTTTTTTGGTCTCTATTTTATTTATTCTCTCTGATCTTTATTATTTCCTTCCTTCTGCTGACTTTGGACTATTTTTCTTTTTCTAATTTTTTAGGTGGTACGTTAGGTTGTTTATTTGAGATTTTTCTTATTCTTGAGGAAGGCCTATATCACTATGAACTTCTCTCTTAGAACTATTTTTGCTGCATCCCATAGATTTTGGAAAACTGTGTTTTCATCTTCATTTGTCCTGAGGTATTTTCTAATTTCCTTTTTGATTTCATCATTGACCCTTTTTTTTTTTTTAGTAGCATATTGTTTAGTCTCAGTGTGTTTGTTCTTTCCTGGTTTTCTTTCTGTAGTTCATTTATAGTTTCATACTGTTGTGCTTGGGAGAAATGCTTGATATAATTTCTATCTTACATTTCTTGAGACTTGTTTTGTGACCTAGTATGTGATCTATCCTGGGGACCGATCCATGTGCCCTTGAAAAGAATGTGTATGTATTCTGCTATTTTTGGATGTTATTTCCTGTACTATCAATTAAGTCCAACTGGTCTAATGTGTCAATTAAGACTACTGTTTCCCTGTTGATTTTCTGTCTGGATTATCTGTCCATCAGTGTAAATGGGGTGTTAAAGTCGCCTACTGTTATTATATTTTTGTCAATTTCTCCCTTTATGTCTGTTAATATTTGCTTTATATATTTAGGTGCGCCTAT